ACTTTGGGGCACTGAGACCCTCACTCTGGGACACTGAGACCCTCACTTTGGGGCACTGAGACCCTCACTTTGGGGCACTGAGACCCTCACTTTGGAGCTCACACTGAGCCCCTCACTCGGGCACACGGAAAGCAGCGAAGCCAGTGGCACCTGGTGCCACCCCACAGCACTGGGCACAGCAGGCCCAAAGGCCCCACGCCCGCTCAGCACAACCAAAAACAACCCAAAAGATTGCAAAAGGCCATCACAGGCACTCTGTGAGGACATGGGCCACACGGCCACCCCGTCCTGGGCCAGAGGAGCCCCAGAGCTGCTGAGGAGCTGGGGCGGGTCAGGCCCAGCCCGGCCCGGTGCGGCTGCACTGTTTGCCCAGAGTGTTGGATGACCCTGAGCCATCCCAGCACGCTGTCTCTCCTGTCCCTGTGTTTGGGAGAGGGAGAACACCATGGTTTGCTGCCTTGGGTTTTAGCTTTTGTGTTTCTCAGATTCTCTGCTGCCCGGCGTGTAACTCTGAGAGTTCACGTTAGGTGTTAGCAGCTTCTCTTCACAATCCCTTCCCAGCTGGAGAACCAAAGACAACCTTACCCAAAAAGCACAAACAGCAGCAAAGGGAAAGGGGTAAGCCAGGGGGCTGAGACTTCATCACCTGGAGCTGCAATTGGACAATGGAACCCAACTGTACACGAACCAAAACTTATAAAGGTGTAGAAACTCGTGGCCAGGATCCATCTTGGGTTCAACCTGGGTGTAGCCCTTGTGCTGCCCAAGGTCTGTCCTTTTAAGGCCTTTTATAAATCCCTCTTTTGTCCATTTAGCTCTGTCTGGTCTCTGTTCCAGACCAGCCTTGCCAGGCATTGGGTTCTGCCCGGGTTTGCTCTCCAGGTGAGGAACACCTGAGGACAAAGGTGAAGGACAGGTCTCCGTTAGCTGAGCCACTCCAGATCCGTGGAGAAGCAGCTCTTTCTGATGGAGAACCCAGGGGCAAAGCACAGGAATGCTATTAGCCACCTCCAGGAAGGTTCAAAACATCGGGAAGGATGAATTTGCTGTCGCCCTGAAATTTCTGTAGCCATTCAGGCACAAGAAAGCACTTGCTGATCCAAATTTTGCAGGTTCCAGGAATGTGTCTGCGATGTTTTCCGTCCTGGGAGCCCAGAAATCTCCAGCAGCTCTCAGCGTCCAGCAATCCCCCAGTAACTATCCCTGGAGTTTTAGATGATAAATTGGGGCAATATGTTTCTTGTCAGAGGAGCATATCTGCTTTAGGATGGGACAGATCATCATTTAAAATGAAGCAAACAGTACAAAATAAGAAATAAAGGACTTTGCCTCTAATTAGGACTACAGTTTGGAAGCATGCTGTGAGCTGAGCAGATTCTTCTTGTCCTTAATTACCTTCACTCTTCTGGAAAACACCTAATATATATTCTTGCTGTCTTAATAAACAAGGATTTTAATAGCATTAACTATGATCCATCTGACTAATTTCCTATTTTTCTCCTTCCATATTTATAGTTTTGACCTCTCAGTCCTGTGACTGCTTCATATTTGAGGTATGAGTCGGGTAAAGGAGCATTTCCTTTTTATTTCTGTCATATCTTCTGTGTCTTCTCAGTATCCATGAAACCCTTGAAGATCTGCTCTATACTTCAAAGCTAGCACAAGCAGGGGCCTGCCCCAGTTTCTTCAGCTGCAATAAAATGCAATCTTCTTCTCAGAGATGCAAGTAGGAGGTAAAGGAGGTCCAGTGGAAAGTTCACTCATCCTTTTCAGTTGACCTCTCCTGTCAGCCTGGGAGCAGGTTCAGGAAGCTCAGTTTTAACTGATTAAACTACAACAAAAGGCTGCTTCACCCCAGAGATTTGGAGGTGAGCTGCACAAACCAAAATTCAATGCAGGATCACAGCACATGTCAAAATCATTCACCTCTGGAAGAGAGGCAGTCGCGGAGAGGAAAAGGCTCCGTTTTCATCAGCCCTGGCACAGGTTGGAGCCTGCCTGCAGCCCTGCAGGGAATGCAGCAGAAATGCAGGGTCTGCACAGGTCCTTCCCTCTCCTGGGCTGCTCCACTCACGCAGACAAACCAGCTCCGAGCCACTGGGGAGCGTCCAGGTGTCTGACCCACTTTCTCTGGAAGAACATAAAAACAAAATCCCTTTTCTGGGCAAAGGAAAACCATGGTGGCCACTTGGAGCCGTGCACAGGAGCCCTTGCCCTCACTCACTGACTGCTGGGGAATTTTCTGCTTAAGTGATCCTGCGCTTCCTCCCCCCAGATGAACACAACTGCAGAGGGGCCGATGTGCTCGTGGGAGAGGGAGGGAATCAGAATCCAGGGATCTTTGCAAGGAATCTCCATCCAGCCAGCAGGGACCCTGCCATTTTATAGCTCTGCAGAGCCTATGCATTTCCTCCCCTTCTCCTCCACCAGTTTGGCCATGTGGTTTTAATCTATATTTTCTGTATTTTCTCCATCCAGCTTTTTGTTTCCAAAACTTCTGGTCAGCTGCAGTACAGACTGAGAGCCAAACAGATTGCTGGGTTCTTCCAAGCTTACTTCCAGAAAACAGCTTTAAAGTTAGAAACTGCTCTTAGGTGCCTAAATACCAACACCTCATTCATCCGCCAGCCACACCCCTGTATTTAAAATCGCTGTAGTATGAAAATGAGCGAGGTGGGGCAGATTTCCTACGTGGGCAAATAACCCAGCCCAGCCCCTCAGGCCACCCTGCACGGCTGCAGCAGGGAGACAAAGCTCAGAGCTGGAGGAGGTGTGATGGATGAGCAGCATCCCTGCAAGGGAGACCCTCCCAGCAAGGGAGACCCTCCCAGAAGGGGAGACCCTCCCAGAAGGGGAGACCCTCCCAGGAAGGGGAGACCCTCCCAGAAGGGGAGACCCTCCCAGCTATTACATTATTTCTGCCTTCACTGTCCATCCAAACACTTGAGGCAGCTCCATTCCCAAGCCAACCTAACGACGTGTCTCCTTAGGAGAGTTTTGGAGCTTTATTATCTCCTTGGCTTACCTCTACATTCAAAGCTATTTGATTTATATCACCATTAAAGCTGAGGCTCACGCTGGCCTCCTGCCCAGGACAGCTCCAGCCCTGGGCAGCTGAACAGCCTCCAGCACACGAGGGCTCCTGCTGTGGATGTCTGGGCTGCTCCAGGCTGTGCTGGGCTCAGGAAACAGGAGGGATGGGAAGACAGGCAGGGCCTGGGGACAGCCAGGAGCTGGGATCTGCTGGGATCTGCTGGGATCTGCTGGGATCTGCTGGGATCTGCTGGGATCTGCTGCTCAGCTCAGGAAAGGTGGGGTCACCGTGTTGGAGGTGTCTGTGCTCATTTCCTTCTTGCCATCCTTCTTGTTAGGAGCACAGTTTGGGGAGTTCAGCACGGCAGAATTGTTCCTTTGTTCTCTGTTCTTCAGTGAACCTCCCACAACCTTTGGAGAGGTTCCTCCTGCCTCCCATGCTTTTGTAATATCCTCCACAGGTATCCAGGGGAATTGTGCCTGTGCTGGTACATCAGGCACAGCAAAGAGTTATTATTGTTCTGATCTAGTAAGCAACAATTGCCTCTAGTGTAAAGCGAGTGCTGAATTCCAGGCTCCATCCCAGAGCCCTTCTGAGACCAATAAACTTGGATGCATTTGGAAACAGCATTCCTTCATGGACGAGTGCCAAGGAGATACTGGGCTCCAGATAAACCTCCAGAGTGAGTCTGTTGACTCCAGTCCATTTACTCCAGGGATGAAGCTGGCTCAGTGTCTTTCCTGAAGAACTGCTGGATAGTAATGACTCCTATTTAATTAAAAAGCACGCCAAGAGGAATTTCAGGGTTTAGCAATGTGCTTGTCGCTCAGAAACAGATTTATACTTGGTAAGAGAAGAGTTTGTTGTGTTTTTTTTTCCTTTTTCCCCTGACACATCCCCAATTATCTCAGAGACGTCCCTGGGCTGGACTCCACGGCGATGTCTCCGGGTCTGCGGTTTGGTTATTCGAGGTTGGAGCTCTGGGCTGTTGTGCAAAGCAGTTCCTCTGCCCTTAATTCACTCCTGACAGCTCTGCATTCCTCCCCGTGCCACTTCCAGAGCTCTGCTGGGCTCCCTTTCCCCATCTTGACATCTGGGCACTCCTCCAGGGGTTTATCTTTGGTGCTGTGGTGGTTTTGGGTGAGCAGCGAGGCATCCTGGCCGCTGATCTCTGCCAAACACACCGGATGCCCTCCCGGAGAGGTGGGAGAGATTTCCTGCAGGCTCTTGGAATAAAATCCTTCCAACAGCTACAGGGAAGTGTTTGACTACGCTGGGAAAATATCAGTGAGATAGTCCCCACTTGCAGACCTTGCTAGGAGGGAATGTGGGAGGTAAAGGAGGAGAGTGAGGAAAAGCTTTTATCTCCAGCAAATGTTTTAAGTGGAGAATTTAAATCTGGAAAATATTAAGCTTTTAAATTTCATGTGGACCAGAGACTCCCTCTCTCTGCTGCACCCACCTTGCTTATCTGGACTATTTTTCACACTTGGGGCTGTTACATGACCACTGTCCTCACATGATTCCACTGCAGCAGAGCCACGGTGCCCTCATGACAGCTCCACATCCCCTCCATGCCCTGCTGCTTTTATTTATGCCTTTTTCTCATCAGCCTCATCTTTCTGCTTCACAGAGCCTCAAAGCAGCAGCATCACTGAGAGCATTTTCCCTCTATCCCCTCAATTCTCCAGCCCCCAGTCTGCACAGGGCACATCTCCCCTGGCTTCCATGCAGCTGTGCCAACAGAAAGCTGGCCCAGCTCCCCTGGGAGCGTGCCATCTAGTTTAGACAAGTAACTGAGCAACCTACCACGCTGCTAGTCCTCTGGCCAATTTTAGAACCATTTTTTTAAATTGTTCTGAAAGTCCAAATAAATATTTTTTCCATTCTGGTTTTCATCTCGGGACTGAGGTGCCAAAGTACTGTGAAGAGAAGTGTTTTATCCCCATTTTCAGCCAGGAACAGAAACAGACAACTCAGATTTTTCCTGCAATATTTCCATCCTTGTTCTGGGTACCACAGCACAGAGTGGTCCTGCAGTTTGTGGCTCCAAAGCTCTCTGCCCTGCCCTGTAGGTTTGCTACAACACGGTGCAAATTTACAACACCGGGTGTGTGACTGAAAATCAGGAATAATGGTGGTGACCCAGAAACTGGGGCCAGTTTGGGCAGCCTTGAAAGCAGTTTGTGACAGGTCACAAACCCAGGCTCCAGTCCTGCTGACATTCCTGTGTCCTTAATTCTACATTTGCAGCACAAACAAGATCCAAAAGAAGAGCATGGTGAGCTCCACAGCAATGAGCCCTCGGCCTGATCCTCGCTGGGAAAGGCAGAGCCAGGCTCAGCAGGGATGCTCAGGGAGGGACAGACAGACAGACAGACAGACAGCAGCGGAGATGAGAGCTCATCTCCAGTCCTGTGATTCCCTTCTTGCCTCCCTTCACCCCTTCCTTCTCCCCTGTTTTTTTCTCCTGATTCCTCTCTGCCCTTTTAAAGCTTTAACTCTGTGATTGTGCTGCTGAACTTTTGTGAAAGGGCCTGGAGGAAAGACAAAGCTCACTGAAGCACAGTCAGACTGCCACTGCCACTGTGACATTCAAAGTGCTTTTCAGTGATCTAGGAAACCCAGCTCATCTCACAAAAATCTGGACACCTAGCCATGTCTTTTCCTTGCAGCCGAGGCAGGAGCAGGACTCCAGTGTGGGTTGATCAGTCCTGCCCTTCTACAGGAGCCCTCCAGCACGGGGATGCTGGCACCAGGGTTAGAAAACCCACGCCAGGCATGGCAAGGAATCCATTTCTGCCAACTATTTCCATTCTGTGACCAAAAAACAGGGCTAAGAGGCTCCTGACAAGGTTTGGGTGTTGGCAACATGGGTCTAATCCATGGCTGGGCAGATGAAACAGGAGCCCCAGGCAGAGCCTGCAGTGGCACAAACCCTGGGATCAGTCCTGTGGAAAACTCTGCCTCCTCCCCCCTCATTTCTTGCCAAAATTCTGCGGGGTGATGCTGATTTCTGTCACTTACCACGGTGCAGCAGAGGGGCCAGAACCACCAGAGCAGAGCCAGGGCCAGCAGGAGGAAGAGGATCAGCAGGGCGATGGCCAGGATGGTCCCGTCGGACTGGAGGAGAACAGAGAGAGCTCAGTGTGACACCAGGACACCCCTGAACTGGGACACCACTGACACTGGGACACCACTGAACTGGGACACCCCTGAACTGGGACACCCCTGACACCCCGACACTGGGACACCCCTGAACTGGGACACTCCCAACACTGGGACACCCCTGACACCCCGACACTGGGACACCCCTGAACTGGGACACCCCTGACACTGGGACACCCCTGAACTGGGACACCCCTGACACCCCTGAACTGGGACACCCCTGAACTGGGACACTCCCGACACTGGGACACCCCTGACACTGGAACACCCCTAAACTTGGACACCCCTGACACCCCTGACACTGGGACACCCCTGACACCGAGCAGTCCTCACACATTGTCGCAGGCACATTCTTCTCTCTCTCTCAATTCAGACTAAAATTCACCTAATGTTCCCCAGAATATCTTAAAGAAAGATTTGAAGAAGAGCTCACAACACAGTCATGGAATCGTGGAGGGGTTTGGGTGGGAAGGGACCTCAAAGCCCATCCAGTGCCACCCCTGCCAGGGGCAGGGACACGTCCCACTGTGCCAGGGTGCTCCAAACCCCATCCAGCCTGGCCTTGGGCACTGCCAGGGATGGGGCAGCCACAATTCTGGCAAGGATTCCCTGCAGTTTAAGCAGTTTCCTTGCAGCTCTTCCCTCCTGCAGGCCAAACGTGCTGGTGTTACAGCTCCAAGCTCCCAGAGATCTCCAGGGCCCTTGACCCAGGTCCTGCTGCTCCTCTCAGCTGTGCTGACTCAGAGCAGCTCTGCCAGGAGCTTTCCAAGAGCTCTGAGATCCAGCACGAGGACACACAGGGAGTTTCCCCATCATTAACTCCAGGACATCTCCTCCCCTCGGGCTGGGACACTTCTCCCAGTTTAATGCATTTTCTGCAATTCTGCAGCAGAACTGCAGCTGTGCCTGTGACCCTGAGCTGTGCCAGCCCCCCTGGGCCAGGCTCCTGCTGCTCCCAGAGCAGCAAGGCCTGGCCTAAACCTCTCTGGGATGTTTCTGCTGCACCAGGGACACCCTGAACCCCCAGGCAGTGCCAGGCTGGGACAGCTCCAGGGACAGGCTGAGGACAGGCTGACCTGCTGTGTGACAAATGCTGCAATCCCTGCAGCCTGACCAGCTCCCACCATTCCAGGACACAGAGAAATGGAAGAACAACCAGGCTGGAGAGCATTTTCCAAACCCTCTGCTGGTGCAGAAAGAGTTTCTGGAGAACTTAGACCAAGACAACCTGATCTGTGACACTTGGAAGCAGGAGGAGGCAATCCACACGGGAGAAAAATTCACCCAAGGCATGTCTGGAAATGGAACTTGGACCCCAGTGTACACAAAAAAACCTCATTTGAGAAGACAGAGCTGTTCATCTGGGGCTATTCCTCGTCCATCATCTGCAAAATGCAACCTGCTGGTATTCAAGGCTTTAGAAACTGTGATCTCAATGCTTTACTGCCCTGAAATTGTAGAAAAAAAATCAGGCTTTTTATGTCTAATAGTTATCTGCCCTATAGCCCCATATTAAACCAATTATTTGGTCGTTAGGAGTATTCTAAAATCAATTTTCTAAAGTACAAAACAAATTAAAGTAGCTTTTAAACTATTTTCTAGGGAGCTTTTTTTTTTGTTTACTTTACAAAATAGAATTTATTTTCACTTTCCCTTCCCCCAGGAATGACCTGTAAAGGCCAATTTTTGATACCCCAGCACATCTGTTCCTCTGCAGCCCAGCTGGCCTGGCCAGCTGGGGTTTGTGCATCACAGGGCAGAGGCCTGGGCAGGGCTGGAGCTGCCAGAACTCCCCAGTGGCACCCAGAATTCAGCTGCCACTCTGTGCAGTGCCTGGCTCGTACAGCTCTGGTCGTGCTGAGGCAGAAGCTGAGGGATGAATGATTCAGCCAAGCTGAATGATAAGCAGGAACAAAATTCTGCCTGCTCAGAAAGCTCCACTGGTGTGCTTTGAGATCTCCCTCCCAGTGTGGTACAGCTGCTGAGAAAGGGCTGAAGCATTTCAAATGTCTGATTTCATTCCAGTGAGGAGCTGCACATCACAACGCAGCATTTAACTCTTTCCTCTCTTCCAGTTCCCCCAGGCCTGACCCAGCACCAGCAGTGAATCCCTTTCCAAGAGCTCCCAACCCCACCAGCCACCTCTTGCTCATTCTTCCAGCAGGGAGTCAAAGTCCAGCTGACTTTCCTGACTTCATTTTTGCTCTTTGCTTGCCAGGAAAGCAGCTGTCTGCTTCAGCCGTGCTGTTAATTGAATGTTTGCTTCCCTGGATTAACTCCAGAGAGTCCTTGAGAATGGACAGTTGCTAGAAAAGGACAGCTATTGCTTACAGGGAAAAAGGGATTGGGCAGTGCCAGGCAGGCACAGACACCTCCAGGGCACTGCCAGCCCAGCCCTGGTCCCTGTGATACCTTCAGTTCTAACTTCTGTGGTTTTCAGGTTCTGGGCTGCCTTAGGGTGCAGCTCGGAGCTGCACGTTAAGTGTTGTGGGCTCTCTGCACAGATCAGGGAGACAAAACAATTCCTGCTCTAGCTGGGGACCGAGGACAACCACCCAAATCTCAGGCCCAAGGGCACAAACAGTGTGGAATGAAGAGAGGAAAACAAGGAGGATGGGACTGCATAACCTAGAGCTGGAATTGGACAATTAACCCCAATATGCAAATGGAGCAGAACTGATCAAAGTGACAGACCCTGTGACAAGTTGTGCATTTTGTGACCATTTGGGTTTATCTTGGGCTCATTTTGGGACCATTTTGGGGCTCATTTTGGGACCATTTTGGGGCTCATTTTGGGCGCTGCCCAAGGTGGATCCATTGAGGAGATGCTGTGAATAAATCCCTGCTTTATTCTATAACTCTGCTCCAGCTCAGCCTTCCCAAGGCATCACCTGTCCCAGCACAGACCTGGAGGTGTCACCGAAGGCTTGGCCACATTGTGGCACACAAGGCACCCGAAATTTCCCATTGCCACACGTTCAAAGTCCCCTTTGAGGGGGGACAGGCCCCTCACAGCAGGCAGAGCCAGCCTGGCAGCCCTGCTGCTGCTGGGACACGCTGCTGGTGCTCAACCCCAGCACCCCCAGAAGCATTGCAGGAGCCACAACTCACACAGTGCGTGCTGGAGATGATGACAGAGCTGGAGATGAAGCTCAGCCCGTCGTTCATGCTGACTTGGAGAGCTGCTTCCCTGGAAAAAACCAGCACCAAGTCAGGGCAGCTCACACACAGCCCTCTGCCCGCTCAGAAACCCCTTTACAGGTAATTCCCAGTGCTCCCTGTGCTCCCGAGCACAGCTGGGGATGTGAACACGGTGAACACGAGGGGATGGCAGCCACATGGGGCCCAGGAGAACAGCAGGGCACAGGGAGCACACCCAGCTCCCCCTCCCCACGAATATTGGGGCAGCAGAGACGTACATGCCAACCTCCCTCAGCACAGGTGCTGGGCACAGCAGGTAGGTGTCCTCCACCACGAAAGGCTTCTCATCTGGAGAGGGAGAGAGTGGCATTAGTGCCAAACCACCCACACAGAGAGCTTTCCCTTGCCACAGGTAAATAAATGAGCTGGGGGATGAGGAGCTTGTGGGGTTAGGAAAGTTGTGTGTAACAGAAAATTTAGCATTTCAGAAGCATCTGAACCTCAGTTAAACCTTCCAGCCTGAGCTACACTGGTGTTAAAAGTGATGAGGGAAACTCCCAAGGAGCAGGAGCACTGAGTGATATTCCTGCCCTGTGGACTGGAGCCAGAGCTCTGTACCACCACGGGTGCCCAGCACTGCCAGGAGCTGCCCAGCCCATTTCCAGCTCCCTGCCTGTGCTCTGGGGCACATCTGCAACCACAGGGCTGCCCTCCCCCTGATTTCTGAGGAGATCATGAATCCCATGAATTGATGACGCTGTCTCGGCGCACACATGCCAAGAAAATGAAGATCAGTGTCTTGTTTTCTCCTTTCCCAACTCTGGCAGCGAGGCCAAAGGTTGCTCCGTGCCAGCACTCACAAACCAAAAGCTGCTCCATCCTGCAAGGCCCTTTCCTCAGATCTCCTTAGGTTTTTGTTTCTCTTTCTCTCCCTGCCCACCCCAGCCTCTCTAGAAGGTTTATCAGCCCTGGCCGAGCTCCAGGCTGGCTGCAGGCACAGATCAGATTGTTTGGAGAATGTTTTGTGCTTCGCCACAAAAATGAGCTGTGCTCTAAACAAAAGAGCATCCATTTGGTTTGCATAACTCTGGCCCATCTGACTCCTGCCTGGAAAACTCACCCAGGGAAAGCAAACAAAACAACACTTCTGCTGCAGGACACATTTCTGCATCCAGAGAGGGGCTGGAGGCTCCCCATGGTTATGGACACATATTGTAATATTGGCTTTTTGCAAATTTTAAAATGGAGTCTATATATGTGGTGTTAAAGTAACTTTGTAATAGAGATATATTTTTCATTTCTGTTAATTAAGCTTAGAGAAACAGCTGATATAAGTTTGTTTGTGTTGAAATGCCTGCTGGGGTGGGATGCCACCCGATGAACACAGGGTGAGACACCTGCACAGATCTGCCACCCATCAGCACCCACCCTCTGAAGGCAGCGTGGCACAGGGCCCTAAGACTGGAGGGGATGTTAAAAAAAGGCTGAAAACACAACCCAAGAACACACATGCTCTAAAAAGGCAGAGCCAATAAGAAATACACCAAACAATTCTTAGAACAGGTAAACTACTCTGAGGGAGTTTACTATGCACAAGGGCCTATGAATATGCAAAGCCTGATGTAATTAAAAGTATTTCAGGGGTATCCCAGAAGATAACAGGGGGGCCATAAAAACCTCTGCTCTGTGGTCCTTGTCTCCTGCTGTCCTGTATTACACTTTTGACATTTTCACAGGAGGCTGACCATGGTTTTCACATAACCTCTGCTCTGGGGTCCTGGTCTCCTCTTGTCCTTTATCCTTTTGGACATTTTCACGGGAGAGTGGCCGTGTTTCTCACAAAGCCTCGTGCCAGAGGCTGCATGCTGTGCTTGCACTGCTGCCAGGGCTGCTGGCAGGGCTGGGAAGGGAGGAGGAGCTGCTGATTTTGTTGCCCTGATGTCATTTGGGCTCCGGGCTGGGATCGCTTTGTCTCCTTGGACATTTCACACCGGGGATGCCCCGGCCTTGATCAGCCCCAGATGACCCAAACTGGCCAGTCCTGGGGCCTGAGCAGCCCCAAGAACAGGGGAGGGTCAATCCCACCACAAAAACACTTCTGGGCTCTGTGGGTGCCCTTTCAAGCAGGTACCTGACACTGCTCAGTGTTCCTGCACCTGAACAGCTCAGTGTAGCCTGGAAAATCTATTATTTCCAGCAAGAGGGAATAATTTCTTGTGCCATCAGCAGGGTGTAACCTTCTGGCAAGACAGGACTTGGAATATTTCCTAACCACAATAATAAAAGCTTCAATGTATGCAGGATGCTTTAACACAGGAAAAAAAAAATAAATTAAAAGAGATACAAGAACCCAATGAAAGTGACTGAAGGGGTAGTGGCACTTTCTTGTAACCAGAATTGGTTAATGGCTCACCCAAGAACCTGCTGGGCACTGAAATCTGACTGCAGGGATCCCCACAGAGGGCTTTGGGAAAGCCCAAAATTCCAGAGTGCCACTGCAACACCAAGTGCTGGCTGCAGGTCCTGCAGGACCAGCGGGGCTTTGCTCCAGGACAGGCTGCAAAGCTGCTTGCCAAACTTCCCAGACACCACAGAGCAAGGATTTCCCCCTGGTCCCCAGCAGCCTCTCAGCACCCCACTGAGCTCCCATGCTCAGGGCAGAGCTCAGCCCCTGTGCCCAGAGCTCAGCCTCTCCTCCCAGGTTGGAACTCTGTGCAGAATAAAGCCAACCCTCCAGGTTTTAACTCTGTGCAGGATGGAGCCA